CGGGCAGGGAACAAGACCATCTCCATGTTCCTTGTTGGTGCCATCGCTCTGCAAGTGGAGCAGAGCTGAGGCTGGGAGGAGGTCTGTGCTGGGCGGCACAGCGTTGGGATTTCACCGTGCACGTCTCTCTGGAGGGTACCCCTCCAGCAGTACTGGGATGAAAAGAAACTTGCCCGGGCAGGAGCTTCTGCTAAGGCTGTCAGGCACTTGGTGCTCAATGAAATGATCACCAGCCAGGTTAAAAAGCAGAGGAAGCCATCGATCAGCTGCTGCAGGCGGTGGCTGGCACCGGCAGGTTGGGAATACTCAAGTCTCACCACCCCTTGGTCCTGCAACAAGTGCATCTCTGCAGAAAGCGATGACCCAGGGCCAGGTCTCCAAAACTGACACACAGTCACCCCCATGACACGAACCCAAGGGAGACCCTCACCCCCCAGCCCCCCAACCCCAAGCCCTTCTCTGGACCTCACGAGGCCGGCCAACCCGCCGTGGCTGGGGGGGCCCGGTGCAGACACCGCGCAGCACAGGTTGCTTGCTGGCGAGGCGCTGGTGCCGCGATGTTACCATGGTGCCTGCAAGAGCAACCGCAGCAGCCACCGGCCCCGCACCACGGCTGGGTCTCGCTGCGGAGGGGGAGGCATTTGTATCTGTACGGGTGTTTTACTTGCTGCCTGTGAGAGCCTTTTTGTGCTCTTTTTTCCCTTCAAATCAGTTCATTGCAAGTGACCTGGAGCTCCTCTAGCTTACAAGCCTTTAAATACACATATACACATGATTTATTTCCCACGGCCAAGGCCAACACAGTGCTGCATGCTGGAGGCTGTTGCACCAGGCAGCCCACCACCCTGCACAAGGAGAGGTCTCAGGGCCATCGCCCAAGGAGACCCGTGCCGCTGGGCCTGGAGCGAATTCCTTCCCTCCCTGTGCTATATTTGGGTCCCTCACTCCAGGATCCCGAGGGGTCTCGGGGCTGCATCCTCCCCCCTGACATGTGCTGAAGGTGAGAGGCTGGCCACACGCTGGGGGAGGCAAAACCAACCCATTGGCAATGGGGACCATTGCACAAGATGGTGTCAGGATGGTGTCTTTCCCCTGTGAGCAGCTGAGGACGTCAGCTCTGCATCCCACCTGGGCATGCAGAGGTTTCAGCATGAGCCATGGGCGGGCGTGTGCCCATGTGGTGGGACAGTCTCTAGGGACCTGCAGAACGGCTCACCGCCCGGTCACCCCTCCATATTGGGGTGTACGGAGTTGCTGCTGGTGAGGCTTCTTTTTTAAAATGCATTAGCAGCTCGAGGTCACTTACAATAGAGGCTTTAATTAAAGTAGAGATCAATTTTTGTCAGAGCGCTAGCAGAGCACATTCTGTACTTTTCCTTCAGGAGCCACATTCGCTCACTCGTACAGAATGCGTCGGAGGGAGGGGAGAGCTCTGCAGAAAAAACTGAAGCACCAGAGTCAATTCGCGATACGGGGGGCCAACAGCTGCTGGAAAGCCAGCTGTCTCCACGATCACTGCCCTGCACACCGGCGCACGCAGACAGCCTGTGGTGCAGGCAGGGTAACGCAAAGGGTTTTGGTACGTAAGAGTCCCTCCTGGGATCCTGTCTAAACAAGGAATTTAATTCGCAGACATCTTTGGTAAGCAGTGCATTAGGTGGGTGTTTTGTGCCGCCAAAGCTGTGCGCAGCACGGCTGGGCACCTGATGGCTTTGTTTTGCTCTTGGTCCTGAGAGTCAAGGGTCCCCCGCTGTGATAGACTAATGCAAAATGCATTAGTGTTAATGGCAAGATCTCAGGAGTCATTGCTTCCCGGGGTCTTAAAAGAAAAAGCAACCTGCACACCATTAATGGACACCAACACGTATCATTGTGCCTTCCCTCCATGCGTTACAGCCGCTCACAGAAGTTGTGCAAATCTGGATTCAGACAGTGCAGCAGACAGCGGTGCTCAAACAACCACCGAGCCTACAAACAGACTTGGCCCAATGCATTTTTTTTTTTTTAGTTTCTTTTTATTAGCAGGAGGTAGCAGCAGTGGAAGGGAGGGGATTCGGCAGGGGCTGGCACCACTGGAGTGCAGGAATTGGCCAAGGCGCTGCGGGGTGGCAGCAGAGCTGTGGGCATCTCCTCCACCAGCACGCAGGGCTCCACGCTGCTCTTCCTCACTGAACAGCAGAGCAGGGAGTGTGTAAGAAACTGGAAAGCAGGCGATGCTGCAAAAAAATCTGAGGGTTTTATCTAGCAGAAAACAACCAATAAAGCTGCATAGACCTGCGTAGTCAGGTGACAAAAAAGTGCTGCAGCTTATTGGGGAGCGTGGAAAATATTTGCTGCAAGGATGGCGAACCGGCTGATTCCTGGGTTCATGTTCCTCCTCTGGCTGGAGCACAGCATTGCAGCTCTCACTTGCTGAGCACGTCCTGCTGTCTTCTGCTCCTGTCCTCAGCTAACCCTGCCAGCAATGCTGGTCTGAGCATCATTCGCGACTGGGACATGCTCTGCCAACGTTTGGCTTTCCCTGGCATCCCACAACAGGCATGCATCTGATGTCCAGTCTCGTCACCACCCACTGTCCCCAGAAACACGTTTAGGAGGGCTTTGCAAGGGAGCACCGAGCTTGTGCTGTCTGTTTCCAAGCACTGTGCCTTTCCTCCCGCCTCCCTGATGTGGCACCCATGACCATGGTACCCCTCCCCACGAACGAGAGCCGTCCGACCCCACACTGCCCTGCAGTGAGCCCAGGCCATGGGGCAGCAGCTCTCAACTCACAGGAAAGGGGCTGCTCTGCGCTGGGTGAGGGTGGCTTTCGCCCTATGAGCTGCGAGGAGTCCAAGGCTGCTGAGGAGGGATGTGAGGGCAGACCAAGAGCCGCATTTCCAGGGGTGCAAGCAGACAGCAGAAGGCGGCTCAGACCTGCTCCCACCGCAATGGAAGTCGAGGGCTGGGGAGATGAACACTACTTTTTGGTATGCCCTCCACACTTCTGCCTGCTGGAGCTGCTTCACACAGAGCAGGCAGAGTGCAAAGTGGAACATGAGATGCTCCAGTAACCCCGTATGCAAGAACAGCATCTCTCTTGTTCATTTTCCTTTTAAAATAGGCTAAACTCAGCGGCATGACTAGGTTTCTGGTCATGGTATGACACCTGCCTTTGGTACTTTGCTTAATTGCACCTAAAGGTGCAGTTCAGTTCCCACAGTCATCTCTTCCCTCAAATGCTCCCCTGCCTCTCAGTGCTTTGGTCTACCAGTGGCAGCTCTTAATATTCCTATGCATCTGCTTTCTCCCAGGGATGCCTCGTCTGGCGTTGTGCAGAACAACGAGGGTGCCTGGACCTTCAGCATTTCCATGCTGCAGTCCCTTCCCCGTGAATTACTTGTGTTAAGCACTTACCCGCAAACATGAGGTGAGCGTTCACACATTACACACAGCAGATCGCACCCATTTAGGAAGCTGTTTGTTCCGGGCACCTCTGTGCTGTAGACAGAAGTGTTGGCAGATGAGTTTAATTCTTGGGTAGCAAGTGACACCAGGATGTATCCCAAAATACACAGCCTTCTGCGGGGAAGAACTGTTCTAGAAGTGACCATGTGATGGTGAGTGGTACACCCCAGCTTCGGGACCTAACGGAATGCCTCTGTGAAAATGGAATGGGCAGAGACCAAATTATCCTTGTTCCTCACATAAATCTCTTCCTCACCTGTGCTACTAGACTGGCAGCCTCCAGGGAGAAGAAAGCGGACTGCTAGCAGAACATTTCACATCAAGTCTTGAATTTCTGCATTTCTGAAAGTTCTCGCAGGCTTAGGAGGACTCTTTAGGTAACCAGAATCTGAAGCCTTAAGGGAACAGAAGATTTGCAAAGGGCTGTGGTGGAGGACATGGGGAGGAATTCTACTTGGCCAGACTTGAGTGGAGGGAAGGAAAAAAAAAAAAAAAAGGAAAAGAATAATGTATTCATACTGAGCAATTAATTTATTTTTCTAGAAACGTTCTCCTGCTTAAATTATAACCAAGCCCTGGCACTGCTGAGTGCTATGATTTAATACCCCCATAATTAAAGACTTTGTTGTCATCCGAAGTCCTCACTGTGCAGAGAAAAATCAGCTCAAGAGCAGTAGAAATGTTTTTTAAAAGTCAAAGGCTGATTAGCATGAAATACTTGAGAAGGCTTCCGGCACACAGCCCTCAAACCTCCCATCAGCTATCACCCCCATCCCCAGGGCAGAGCGCGGGGGCACTTTCCCCAGCCAACCCGCCCCAGCCTGCTGGCCTGGCCCAGGCAGGTTTGGCCAAGCAAGGAACAGGAGAAAGTTAGAAAACCATCCACCTAGGCCTTGCCCATTACGATAACCTGGAGAAAGGTGGGCAAGACAAAGTGAGAAGTAATCCAGGAGCACTTGGGCACCCCACAAGGAATAAGGGATGCTCACCCAGGACACGCTAGAGAAGATGTTGGCTCTGTTCTAGCTTCAGCGAGCTCTGAGGTACTCAAACACTGCAGCATGAGGGGAGCTTTAGGAAAAGAACAACCTATATTAGGAGCTGCACCATTCACACAATCCTTGAACTGTTCCTAAGTGCTTTTTGGGACTACTACTTTGACAAGTTGACAAAAGCCTTTATTGCTTTATCAGATATAAGATGCCTGCACAGATCCTGCAGCCTCCTTACGATGCTTCGGCCACAAGGACAGAGTCATATAAATAATTTACAAATTAATTAATAGGGCCAATGACTCCGTGAAACGACAACTCTTAACACAAACTGAGGGCACAAAATTTCAACACTGTATTCCACCAAAAGGACTTCCATTGCTCCTGAACATGCATTTACGTGCAGAAACACACACCTTTCTTGTGGCATTCCGATACGGAGCTTCAAAGCATCTTTCAGTTTATGTAAAATGTCCATGTGAACAAAGTGAATTTACCATGAAACTAAAGCAAGTGTCAGCAGTAGACTGTTTTCACATGTCAAGACAGACGACTATGAACTTTAAAACCTCCCTCTTCTGCTTTATTGACAGGTAAATTGTTCAAAAATGTTCTCACAATTCAATAATTACAAAGACTTAGACTTACATTTAAAAAAGTAAAAACCAGAAAACCCCCAAAGCAGTAGTGTCCAGCTCTAACTGAGCCCCTTTATCAAGGATCTGAGAAAAATAGCAAGTACTGTCGAACACTTAACGTAACAGGATTAAATGTTGACTAGAACACTCAGTTTAAACTAAAGATAAGTGCACGTCCTATACAGTGTTTCAGAAAAGAACATTAGCCATTGGTATATCATTAGCCCATTTAAACCAAGTTTTAAATAAGTGACATCCAACTGTCATAAAATTGGCACAGAAGGCACACTAGTGTGACAATGACAAACTGGATATGCCAGCCACTGAATTAATTACAAGCTTTTAATGAAACATGGTCACAAATCTTTGATTACTAAATGTATAATACATGGAAGCATGAGATTAAATATACACGCAGAACACCACCACTGCACGTGGGCCATAGCAAAATATACAGGAGTGTGTTGTGCATTTTTCTACATGATCAATACTTGATTAATAATCATGGGGTCTTCATGCAGGTGAGGATACAATTAATGAGAAAAGCAGCACCCCCAGTTACACATCCTTCACGTTCCACTTTGGTAACCAATATAAAACAGACTGATGGTTTAGTGCGATATAGTCCCTTAGATCAAGCAGACTTCGAGGGCAATGTGTCCATGAGAAGGCTTGCTAGCTAAACAATGTAGTGTGTCCTTACACCAAAAAATCCAGGAGAAACAACTTCTCAGAAGGAGATAGACAGGAACTAGGAGTAAAATTTTTTTCACAGCAGTAATTACCAGTATTTTAAAAGCCCTGACTAATGACTGATTGATGAGGACTAAAAAAGCAGGGTATGGGTAAGAGATAACTGGCAGTAGTCCTATGTACAAGACTAAAAAGTTGGTAGAAAGATAGAAAGACAGTTATGCAACTGTGTTTGTAATGGCTAAATGAATTAAAAGGCCACAAAACTATAACCAACTTTTACTTGACTTCCTGGTGATTCTATTGATGTTGGAAAACAACCTACATCTTCCTAGCATTCTCCTTAAGATTTAGGAAACAAACAGTTATGGGAAAAAGGGAAAAGTGTATTCATCTGAGGATGTAACTAGACTTGCTCACATTTCCTATTTAGAGGTCCAAATTGTGTCTAAAAGGATTTCCTGCTAATGAGACATTACATCATTCTATAGAAAAATAATATTCCTGATATTGTAGCAACATTATCAGTATCTCTCTCTATTTCTTTTTCAGCATAAGAATAAGACTATTTACTGGTGGCCTTAAATGCTCCTATGCAATAAAACTGTGTCACAGCTGTGCAGAAAGGAATCAACCGTAACTGAGCAGTGAACAATTCTGCATAAAAAGCTCAATCGCTATTTAGTAAAGAATTTTCTTCATTTCAATAGCTTGTATCTACAATCTGGATATATAATTATTCTTGTACAACACTAGAGATTCAGTGTCAGTCTTGGCACTAGCATCTGAGACAGCTTTGCCCTGCTCTTGAATACTCCACAGAGTCACGGAAGATCGAAGCCAGAACGGTGAGAGCGGTAGTGTTATGCGTCACAGGTTGACTGGTCCAGTCCATCTAGTGTAAGCTGATTCCTATGCGGAGAGTTGGGACTTGGGGGACCACTTGGGTTTGAGCTGTTGGATGGAGTAGAGTGTTTGGTGGAGTCTGAATCAGGCTGTTAACGAGAAACGTAAAAAAAAAAAAAATATGCTGACTTAAAATCAACTCTTTACACTCAAAAGCTTTCAAAGGCACTCTAAAATTAGGGTAAGCAACACCTACGAAGCAGTGTGTTAGACTCATTTCCCAGCTAAATATTTATGCAAATACTTCCATTATTGTCAATAGGCCAGTCCTGAAGGTGACCTCCTGATGTAACAGGAATTATGGCAAATACATGGAAATTGCCACCTCTCAGGCTCCTCTCCTTTAGCCATTGCAAGGCTTTCCCGATGGAACGCCTCTACCTGCCCACTGTTGTTCTGGATCTACCAGCCCACGTTTTTTATGCCATTTTTATAGCCCAGGAGTAGCTTTATCTGCCCATATAAACATGTAAACAATTATGATCAAATCATCTCCAGTTTGGTGAGAAGGAAGGAAACAGGCGTATGAACTGTTTACAGAACAGCAACAAGCACGTGAAGCGCCTGACAAGACTGCCAAGTATCAGGGTAGAGATCTGTAAAGAGAATATACTTAACTAGGGGACGCCCTACGTCAATATCTAATAAAGACAGTCTATCCACAGTTACTTCCCCAGTGTTAGACTGGTTGTTGGACATTTGCTTTCACAGACTGGTCTCATTGCAACAGGATGGCTGGCATGTTTCCCACTATTTTGCTGAGTTATAACTCTGAGCACTGCACCCATTCACAGCTAACGAAATACTGCACAGGAAAAACTGGTGCCATCGCAGCAAGTTATTTTCAAGGAAGGGAATGCATATTTGGCAAACAGATTGAAAGGTAACAGCCTTCAAGAAGGCTCTTCACAAGGTTTTGCATGGCTCAAACAATCAGATGATCATCTGTAACAGGATTATCCTAACGTGATCCAGTTCATGCCACGACAAAGCCAAAAGCCACGGGAAATACACTATAAAGCCAAAAGGTGTTATTAGAGCCTCCTTTTTCAAGTTTAAAACTACTATTTTTAAAAAAATTTACAAAGTCATAAGAAATTGTAAGATCTACTGAAAATGTTGTAAAAACCTTAGAATCCACCACTACTTGTGGCTACAAATGGCAACTATCATTACAGCATGGAACGTGATGGAATTTGGGAGGGATGCTGCAGAATAACAAAGTCAACCAACACAGTCCATCATCAGCACCTGTGAAAATCGAGACAGTTTCAAAAATACCTGTGTTTACAGATCCCTGTTTTCACATGCTTTTAATGCCTTACTCAAGGTACAAAGGAAGGCAGAGCATGGCTGTGTTCAGCACTCTGGATAAACATTTTGACTTGGGGGGTATTAAGGCATCCTGCAAAGGTTTGGCTTCAGGAAAACACCCTTCAAAATTCAGAACATTACACGGGTCTGTAGTTGGGTACCAAAAAGCGCTAAAAGGATGCAAAGATCTTGATCTAGGAGTTTGCCTCCTGGAATAATTCCTAACACCCTCCTTGCACAGGCAGTGCTTGAGCAAACCTTGGAAGAAGCTACACGCACGATAAATCAAGGAAACAAAAATCACACATCTTCTCTCCTTCGACTCAGGGACACCAGTTTTGGACAGCCAGGACATTTTCAGTTTGGTGACTACTCACATAGTTTTACTCTTGCTAAAAGCAGTTTTACATATTTTAAAACACGACTCCTTCTGAAGTTACATGACAAAAAAACCCTTTCCTAAAGACAGCACACAAAATTACTTAACTAGTCATATTACTTTCCTGTTCTATGCTAATAACCCAGAGAACATTTTTAGGAGCTTTGAGGACATTTCATCAATTAGTCAAATTTCGCTTGTCTACAAAGCTTAATCCAAGACATAATATACTTCTTGAAATATCACCATAAGATCTTTTCACAGCTTTGCTTTTGTGCAATCATGTATTACAGACTGGAGAAAAGCTTTGTGGAAGGAAAACATCTCCATAAAGAACATGGTCTTTATGAAGTATTTCCTCAGAAATTTGATTTATTGGAAAAAGAAAACAGTCTACGGCAACAGGATATCGTCAGTCTCCATTTAATAAAAGCTACTTTACCTCTTTGTCAAACTCCTGGTCAGGGTCAGACATACTTCGGGAAGGCATGGCTCCTCCCACGTCACTGCCACCTGTAGAGAAAGGAGGAAAAAAGGCACGTTTACGGCTTCTCTTGTTGAAGCCACAAATTACAGCTCAGAACTGACAAGCTTGCTTCCAGCCTTACTTGACGAGGGCCATGAAATATAGGTTTTGTTTCTCTGCTGCTGCTGCTGCCGTGAGAGGTTAGCTGTAGACGGACATGGTTTCTCATCCTGTGCAGCAGGCAGGACACTCTACAGTTGAAATGAAACACCTTGTTAGTCAGCAACAAAAGCTATCCAACTAGCAGTTGTTACTCATGAAAACTTTACTGTGCTTTTGAAGCTATTTACAACCCAGTGTTGGTAGAAAAACTCTGAACTTACTTGACCACATCCACATATTTTCAGTAACAGACACAAACCCTGAGAAAGACAGAGAAAGAACTAAGCCCCACAGCAGCCACTGGAACCTGTCAGCCAGCAAACCCTCTATGAAGGGGCAGGGACTGTACCAACAGCTCTGCTTTCCTTCCTCCTCCTGCTGTAAGGACAAAGGCATTCCCCTTAGCCGGGCTAGCCAAGAAGGACAAGAGAAAGTCTGACTAATAGCTATAGAATGGAGGGTACGGACACAAAACCGTACCTTCGCGCCTTCCTCTCGTGGATTTAACGCTAAAGTAGCTCACACAATGCTGTATTTGTTAAATGCAAAATAAAAATAATGCTACAAAGCACAGCAACTTGCATGCATTTTAGTTGCCTCCACAGCACTCAGTTTTTTCCCCTCCCTTGTTTTTGCTCTAGAATTGGCAAAGTGCCACAAGCACACCATTCCCGTTCCTAACCGTTTGCAGCTACTCCTACCCTTGCTAGGGAAGCAGAGGAGGGACAGGAAGAGGAAGAAAGCAGAGGGGAGCCTTGCAGTGACGAATGGTCACTCTGGAGAAAGATTTCAGCAGAGACAGGGCTCATGCTAGACGCGCT